ACACACTAGGAAATTCTCAGGTGCCCCTTGAGCCTTTTCAAGGACCTCACCAGGCAAGTGGGCAACAGTGGAAGACGGCTGGGTGAGTGTTTCAGCCTTGGGATGGGCCTGAGTCTGGAACCAAGGGAAAGCCTTGGAGTTCTAAAAGGTTACATTTAATGAGACAATGGAAATAAAATTCCACATTTATTTTCATTTACTTAATCTGTGAAAAGAAAAAAAGCAGTCTGTCTGGCCAGACCCCTTTGGACTGATCTGATTACCCAACTTCTCTCCCACACCCAGATAGTTGAACAGTGCTGGGGGAATCTCAGAATTCTGCCGATTTATGCCAATGCATTTAGGGTTTCTAGTCCCAGTGGGGTCTTTAACACAGCTTGGCAACTCTTACTTGTACCAGACAAATGCTCACACCCAGTTCCCACAATGGTCATTCTAATCCTTCTTTAATGACTCATTAAGCTTTAAAAATTTTCATGTGATAGAAGCACAAATTTTCATTCTTATCCCTTCAAGACTGTTTCTCCTTCCACCTATGCTCTTGACCCTTCAGTCTTTTTTTTTTTTTTTGGTAGATATTTATTTAGAGGCTACCATGAATGGCACTGGGCCAGACTGTTGATATCCAACATCGTCCCTGCTCTCAGAGAGGCAGAAAGACCACCATTCAACAAATAAGTACAATTATAATGAGAGATACTTTAGAGTATTATAGAATATATTGATTTGGGGACTTTAGGAATATCTCCCTGAGAAAATGACTTTTATAGCTAATTCTTTAGGGATGATATTCAGTTAGGAATGCTTTGAGTTACACATAACAGAAACCCTGACTAACAGTGAAACCATACCCATGTTTATTATTTACTCATAATGCCTAAAGCAAAGGGCTTTTGGATCTGTAAGTGGCTCAATAATATCAAGAGCCACAAGTTGACAACTCTACAATTTTCTTTTTCTTTCTTTCTTTTTTTTTTTTTTGAGAGAGAGAGAGAGAGAGAGAATTTTAATATTTATTTTTTAGTTCTCGGCAGACACAGCATCTTTGTTTGTATGAGGTGCTGAGGATCCAACCTGGTCCGCACTCATGCCAGGCGTTGAGCCACATCCCCAGCCCAACTGTGCAATTTTCTTAGCTTTTCCTTCAGTCTAAAGAGGACTGCCACAAATTCAAGTGCCACTTCCTTACATAACATCGTCCCAAATCAGAACACAGATAAAAGGCTCTGGTTCCTGAACAGCCTTCTTGACAAGTCCATAAAAATTTATCCACAAATTCCCTGAAGTCTTCTTCCTGTGTGTTTCTGGCTGAAAGTGGGTCATATGCCCACCCCAGATAGGTAAAAGAAAGAGGGTGACCATGATTGACTTGGACCAGTCATGATATTTTTTATCATATGGCACAATGAGAACCCTACAAAAGAATGAAGTTGGAGCCCTACCTCACAGTACATATTCAAATTAACTCAAAATGGATCAAAGACTTAAGTATAAGACATAAATGAACAAAAACAAATAGAAGAAAACAAGCAAGGATAAATCTTTGTGACCTTGGATTTGGGAAAGTTTTCTGAGATTTGACACTAAAAATATAAGTAACTAGTGAGGCATATTGGCACATTCCTGCAATCCCAGTGACTCAGGAGGTAAAGTCAGGAAGATTGCAAGTTCAAAGCCAGCCTCAGCAACTCAGAAAGTCCCTTAACAATTTAGTGAGAGGCTGTTTGAAAATAAAAGAATAACAATTAGG